AGTTAGATCGGAGTTTGAATCCCAACTAGGCCAACTTCCGGCTGGGTAAACTTCAATAGGTTTCTTCACCTCTCTGCACATAGGTTTCCTCATGTGTGTAGAGTTCAAATGTCTAATAATTGAAGAGCTATCACCCATGTAATTAAGAGACACCTGTTTCTTCTAGGAATACAACATTTATTTCTACAAGTCCCCCACACACAGGTTGGTCTCAAATGCAAGCTTCCGTGTCCTCCACAGGAGTAGCAAGGAATGTCTTCTGCCTTCCGGCAGTAGCATCTGGAGATGCCTTCCATGTGTTGCTAACCACAATGGGAAGACAGCACCAAAGCCAGTAAGTCAGCCCTCAAGATGATTCAGAGTTCTGGGGTAATTTATTATACACTTGTAAACAACGAATGCATTATTATTTTTTTTTTTCAACGATTATTTATTTTTGGGACAGAGAGAGACAGAGCATGAGCAGAGAGAGAGAGGGAGACACAGAATCGGAAACAGGCTCCAGGCTCTGAGCCATCAGCCCAGAGCCCGACGCGGGGCTCGAACTCCCGGACCGCGAGATCGTGACCTGGCTGAAGTCGGACGCTTAACCGACTGCGCCACCCAGGCGCCCCCGAATGCATTATTTTATTATGATGCGTGAGGTGCTTCTGTGAGAGAAACCTGAAATGTTGGAGTGGCTTTGGAACTGGACAGTGGGGGAAGCTGGAAGGACTTGGGAGAGAGTGTCAGCGAAAGCCCTTAAAGTCTTGAAGAATCTGTGAGTACAATCCTGATGGCCTTTGAGAAGGCTGTAGATGAAGGCTTTAGGGGAAATAAGGAAAAGGTTATTGAAAACTGGAGGAGAGGGGTCCGTGTAACACAGTGGCAGGAAGTTTAGCAACACTGTCATCTGGAGGGATGTAGAAAGTACAAAATGTGTCTCATTAATGGAGTGTTCTAGCTCAGTATATTTCCAGGTAGAGTGTTGAAGGTGCTGACTGATGTCTTCTTCCTTATTATAGCAAAATGTGAGAAGGAGAAAAATCTAAAGAAGGGCTAAAAAGAAGCCCAGAACTTGCTAGACTAGAAAATTCACATCTTCTCTGGATGACGAATAATGCTGAAATGAAGAAATGGTTTCCACTCAAAAATAAACTCTAGGATACTTCAAGGAGCACGTCATCAAATAATGGATCTGACAGTGTGGCTATAGAACCCTTTGTTCAGACCTCAAAAAAGATCTACAGCAGTGACTCAGAGAGAATCATTCAGACAAACAACAGGGATTCAAAGGAGCTGATGAGTGTTGCGCCTCAGCAGTTTTAGCAGAGGGACTCTCCAGAGTAGAGAAGGGCTTATCCCAAAGAGAAGGGCATGGGTATGGCTTCTGTCCAATGCGGTGGTGCCTCAATTACATTCATAGGAAACTCACAACATTTTAAAAGAGTTGTATTGAGAAATACAGAAATACTGCCAGCATGGACTAGGGGGACAGAGACAGTACAAAATGAAAAGGGGTCTTTCGGCCCCCTAAATTCTACTCGCAGGAAGCAGACTGATAAATTACTTAGCTGCACACATGGCTACTTTTCACAGAAAAGTTAAGATGACTCAGAAAGTGGAATGAAGAGCCCACAGGGTAAAGTCAAAAGCCATAGAGAGCCATTCCCTGGCATAAATAGGACTGAGCTCTAATCAAAGAATTTCTAACATGTGTCCAACTGGATTATAGGATTGCTGTGGACCAGTGACTCCTTTGTGTCTCCTGTCTTTTCTCCTTTTTGAACTGGAGTGTCTGTACCAGTTATCCTAAGCCTGTCCCACCATCGTTAAATTGGCAGTGTGCAGAAACATAATTATTTAGATGAAGGGGAACTATACTTGAGAGGAGCTGCATTTAAGCCACTAGAAGCTTCCTCCATAGCTGCAGCTGATTTAAATGATAAAATTCTGGACTTTGAGCTGATGATGTAATGGGTCGAGACTTTTGGGCACTTGGGAGGAAGTGAATGTGTATTGCATTTGAGAGAGATGTGAATCATTAGGGGTCCGAGGGTAGAACATGGTAGCCAGCATCAAAAATGACCCAAAGATCCATCCCCACTTCTTGATATTTATGCCCTTGTGTAGTATCTTCCCACAATGAATAGGGCTGATCTCTGTAACTAACAGGCTATGTCAGAAATGATGATGTGTGACTTCTGAGCTTAGAGCCATAAAAGACATTCCATCTTCTACCTTGCCCTCTCTCGGATCACTTGCTTTGGGAGAATTCAACTGCCATGTCATGAGGACACTCAAGCAGCCCAGTTGAAAGTGGTAAGGCTTCCTGCCAACAGCCGAATAAGTGAGCTGTCTTCGAAGCAAATCTTAACATTTCTAGTCAAGGCTTTAAGTGACTATAGCCCCAGGCAACATCTTCACTGAAATCTCTTAAAAGATTGTGAGTTAGACCACCTAGCTAAGCGACTGCCATATTTCTGGCTCACAGAAATAGTAGGAAATCATAAATGTTTACTGTTTTAAGCTGCTACTTTTTGAGGTAATTTTCTAAGCAAAAACATTAATATAACAAAGTTTCTATCTCTGGATGTTCCCAAAGATTCCTGGGGAATCAGACCATTCTGATTTCTGTGCTGAGGGGGACAGAAGGTCCATCTCATGGAGTCAACCACACCCCATTACCAGAACTTTATGAAGTCCCTTTTTAACAATTCCATCAACTTCTGCCTCTAAGATCCTCTTATCGCAGAGAGTTCAAAGAAAGATTGTGAAATGTTAGATACTGAACTGCACAGTATGATCTTTTAACTTTCCCTCAGATAAAGTTAAGAACAAACAACAACAATAATGACAACAAAAGACACACGTCCCTCTCCACCAAAGACCCTGGACACAGAAATGTTCTCTTAAGACATTAAAGAATTGTTTTCACTGAAAAAAATATTTTCTAGCTGCGATAACATTATGTTTGTATAGGCTGCTGTTTCTTTTAAGCCTGGGGTGGTGGAAATTAGCAAGCAGGAAACACTATTCACTAGGTAGACTATTGCTGATATTTGAGTTGACATTTGTTGACTTTTTTTTCTTCAGAATGATGCATCAATCCCTGTTTCAAATGCAGGCACAGAAATGATTTCCAAAGAAATGAACTGGAGAAAGTAGAAATGCGGATGGAATTGGAATAAAACAAACCTTCCTTCTGATCCCCCCCCCCACCCCCACCAAAATTCTATACAATTACTCTGAGGTTAAAAAAACAAACAAACAAAAGATTTCAAAAACATAAGTCTTGGACAAAAGCTGCACACAAATGAAGCATACATTACATATGTGAAGACATTAAAAATGATTTTAAATGATTTTTACCTCACCCCATGCCCTGGCATTTTGTGAAACTCAAATGGAAATCCCAGCTCAAAATTATAGAAGTGAATCAACGGAAAACAAACACCATTCCATTCCCCTCCATTCTGTTCAACCATACCTCAGCCTCTCCCTGGATTAGATCAAAATGTCCTTTTCCTCTCCTACATACAAAACAAAAGCTCTTAGTCTTGGAGAGACTTAGATATGGGGTAGAGGTTTAAGGGGGGGGGTGCATATACTACCAGCGTCTAGCCAATAATGCCTAATGCGTTAAAAATATGGTTAAAACTTCCTTCAAATATGGGCAACTAAATAGAATTTGAGCCAATAATAATAGTTAAAATGTAGTGAATACTTCTACAAGGCAGGCACCTTTACATTTCATCCACAAAGGAGCCCCAGCAGGTAGAGATTACCATTATTTCCACTTTATGTATGTTTTTAAAAAAGCGAAACACAGAATGATCAATTAACTTCTTCATGATCACAAAGCCAGTAAGTTGTAGTACTGAGAACTGGGAGCCCTCCGGCAGTGGATCTTCCAAAACCAGCTTTTAAAATGACACGCAAAGATCTGGTCCAATTCTTGGCACTTCAGAACCGGTTAATAAATAACAGTCCCTTTCATTTCTCTTGAATCCCAATCTGGACCTGGGCGGTCTCCTAACATAAAGCAAAATGACTGCACTTTGGAACTCTCACTGGACAAATCCTCTCTCCTCACTTGCCTCACCTGACATCTCAGCCAAACCCAAGGCAAGCAAGCTCTCAGGAAAAAAAAGGCATTCAGGTTGCCACCCTAGAGATTCTGAGCCCCAGAGAAGCAGGAATGCAAATAGACTTTGCAAATAGACAAAGTATAGTATTGCTGTGGATCGAAAGTGTCTGTTTGCCCAGCCCGACTCTGAAATTCCCTGAGCCTGAAAGAACAAACACAACCCTTCCGGGGGCCCTCATAAAATCCCAAGCGGTCAGGTTTGGTCTGGTAAACAACACTCAGTCCTAGCACCTGGCCGAACACGGGGCGGTGGGGACTGGGACGGGCGGCGACCAACTGGAAGGACAGAGACTGCAATCAATACCCACTTACACCTGCCTAGCGGCCTTGAAAAGTCAGGTTGACACCTACAGGGAGGGACCCTGGGAGGCGGGGCCCGATTCCCGCCTCGGGAGTGAGCGGGAGACCTCCTCCATCCTCCCCCTCCATCCGGGGCTGCCGAGCTCCCCCCATAGAACGCGGAAAAGGGCCCTTGCCACTTTAAATGACTCAGGAAGTGAAAAGAGACCGCTGACAGGGAAAGGGAAAGCAGAACCGGGGCGGCGGGGCTGGTGGCGCGGCGATCTCGCCCCGGGCAGCGCGAGGCAGGAAGGCGCGCGGCGCGGGGGCCGACGGGGGCGCGGAGCCGCCGCGCCGGAAGTACCCGCGCCGCGGGAGGAAGCGCAGCGGGCGCCGAGCGGCGGAGCCGGCGGGAAGGCCCCTCGCTCCTACGCCTGGCGCGAGCGGGCGGCGGCGGCGCCGCGGCCCCAGGCCTGTTCCGAGACCCGGCGCGGCCAGTTCCTGGGACGGGACCCCTGCGGGGAGGAGGACGGGAGGAGGCCCCGCGGCGAGCTCGGAGGCCCAGCGGCCTGGGCCGCGTCACCGCAGCCACATGGCCTCCGGAGTGGGCGCGGCCTTCGAGGAGCTGCCGCACGACGGCACGTGTGACGAGTGTGAGCCAGACGAGGCCCCCGGGGCCGAGCAAGTGTGCCGAGAGTGCGCCTTCTGCTACTGCCACCGCCACGCCGAGGCGCACAGGCAGAAGTTCCCCAGCCACCACCTGGCCCAGTACGTCCACGGCGCCGCCCCGGCCTGGACCGCGGACGCCCCCGCGCAGGGCGACGCGAAGGCAGATGCCCAGGCCAAAGTGGAGAATGAGAGGGATGTAGAGAGCGAGGTGGGGGAGGAGAGCGAGTCCGAGGAAGACAGTGAATCCGAAGAAGAGAGCGAGACGGAGGAAGAGAGTGAGGATGAGAGCGATGAAGACAGTGAAGACGACAGTGAGGAAGAGATGGAGGATGAGCAAGAGAGCGAAGCAGAGGAAGACAACCAAGAAGGAGAATCTGAGGCCGAGGGAGAAACGGAGGCAGAAAGCGAATTTGACCCAGAAATAGAAATGGAAGCGGAGAGAGTGGCCAAGAGGAAGTGTCCGGACCATGGGCTCGATTTGAGCACCTATTGCCAGGAAGATAAGCAGCTTATCTGTGTCCTGTGTCCGGTCATTGGGACTCACCAGGGCCACCAGCTCTCCACTCTAGATGAAGCCTTCGAGGAACTAAGAGTAAGTATTGGGAGTTGAGAGCATAGGTCTAGAGGTCAGGACACCTGGGTGTCAACTCAGGTGGCCCACTTGTGGCCACGTTCGCTTTCACCGTAACCCTAAAAAGCCAGTCTATGCAACTTGTTGGGAGCAGTGCTTATTCCCCCTTTTTGGTTGAACTCCTTTGAGAATCAGATGAAAGTTCTGGACTCTGACCCAAGGGAAATATATGTACACACAAAGCTTAGTGTACACTTTTCTCTGGAAAATTGCAAGCCACTGGTCCCAGGATCCCAGGTGAAGCATTCCTTGGGAGTTTTGACTCCGTGTAAGCCAGTTCCCACAACGTCACCTTGTTGAGCCCAGTGCCTTGACTTGGTAAGGCAGTCTCTTCGCCTGCTTGAAAACACGGGAAACTGTGGTTTGGCCAGATGAGTCCAGGTAGTTCCTCTGTAGTGAGGAGCCTCTCGGAGATGGTGGTATCCTATTAAGGTCATACACACCCTGAGTTTCTTTTAGGTTCTTCATGTGTGATACTTATTTGGAAAGGAAGATGAGAGGTTGGAGGCAAACTTGGAATGCAAGTGGGAGTCCCTGTGTGCTCCGTCTTGATGGGAGGGCAGGACCTTCTATTTTGGACCTTGCTAGTCCCCTGGACGTGTTTGGAAAGTAGTAGACATTAATCAATATTTGCTGGGCGAATGGATTTGCAAGTGATTTGCCTTTTATTTATATTGTGGTTATTTACAGCCAGTGAGAGAAATCGCTGGAGTTAACTAGGGAGGAAACCGAATGATCAAGTTATTAGTGAATGTTGTCATATTATGATGACTGGTTTCCTTAAGCAACCTTGCAATTGCTGGCAATGGAATAACAAATACTTGGTTAATGAGTATCTCTTTTATGAGATTTTCCCTTTTTTATTGTAAAATACGCAGTGTGTGAAAACGTGCACAGTCTAACAAGTCATTATAGAGCAAATTCTGATGTGACCTCTATCCAGATTAAGACATAGAATATTAGTAGCAATATTGAAGCCCAGTGTCCTTTCCAATTATAACCAGTTCCCATTCCCAGTAACCATTATCCAACTTCTGAGGTAGTATTTCCTTGCTTATCTATCCATGCATCCATCCATCCATCCATCCATCCATCCATCCATCCATCCATCTGTCCACCCATTCTTAAACTTACTTGAACTTGACACAATTGATACCATATCGTTATTGTGCATTCTTTTGAGTTATGCTTCATTTTTTCAACACTGTGTTTCTGAGATTTGTCCCGTGGGTGGCTGTGGTTTGTTTGTTTCCGTTGTTGTGTAGAATTCGATTTTATGACTGTGCCACAAGTTACCTGTTCTGTCAGTGATGGAAATTTGACTTACAAATTCTGGAGTTTCTGCCTATCATAAACAATGTTGGTATGGACATTCTTGTTCAAGTCTCCTGGTACATATCTGCATATGCTTAAATGGAATATAAACCTAGGAGTTAGATTGTCCGGTCACAGACTGTGCATATCTGAAATAATACCAGATGTTGCCAATTATTTTCCAAAGTGGTTGTACCAGTTTACATTGCCAGGAAGAGTATGTGAAAATTCCTGTTGTTCTGTATCTTTAGGACTTACTATTATAGAATTTAAAATTTTTGTCAATTTTGTGGATATGTGATAGTATCTTCTTGTGGTTTAAATTTGTATTCCTCTAGTTACTGAGGACTTTGTGTATCTTTTCTATTTCTCCTTTGGTGAAATACCCTTTCAGTTTTTTTATTCGTATTTCTATTAGGTTGTCTTTTTCTCATTAACTTATAGTCGTATTCATGTATTTCTTTGACTTCTTTGTTGTTTATAAGGGTTGAAAATATCTTTGTTTTTTAAATTATGTCTTGGGTAGAAGTTGTTCATTTTAATGTAGAATTTATCAATAATTGCCTTTATTGTTAGTGCTTTTGTGTTTTATTTCACTTAGTATTGATTTCTGTGTGGCGGAAGTAAGGACTCTATTTCATTTTTTCCCTATACAGGTAGCCAATTGCTCTAGCAGCATTTATTGAAAAGTCTGCCTTTTCTACACGGATTTGCTATACTGCCTGCCTATATGTGTGTGAATGTGTTTCTTGGGTCTTCTATTCTGTACCATTGATCTGTTAGTGTATCCCTGTGTGAAAAACATGTTTTCTTAGTTATCATAGCTTTGTAACAAGACTTAATATCTGGTAGAGCAAGTCCTTCCACTTTGTTCTTCTAGATGGGTATCTCAGCCAGTCTTGGCCTTTTATATTTCTTAGAACAAACTGTAGCCTGCAGGACATTTTTTGTATTGCATTTAGTTTATAAAGCAACATATGAAGAATTAACATCATTACAAGATAAAGTCTTCTGGTATGTTTATTTTGGTCTAAATTGCTTCATGATAAAGTTTTATAGTTTTTTTTTTTTTTTTTCTGAAAGATCTTGTACCTCATTGTGAAATTTATTCCTGGACACTTAAAACTTTATAGTATTGTAAAAAAATTAAATTTTTAAAAATGTTTATTTACTTCAGAGAGAGAGAGAGCATGAGCGGAGGAGGGGCAGACACACACGCACGCACGCACACACACACAGAACAAAGCAGGCTCTAGGCTCCTGAGCTGTCAGCACAGAGCCCTACACGGGGCTGGAACTCACAAACTGTGAGATCCTGACCTGAGCCGAATTTGGATGCTTAACCAACTGAGGTGCCCCCAAAACTTGTTTTCTAATTGTTTATAGGAGTATGATTAACTTTTATGTATTGATTTTTGTGTTAAAATGTCTGCTAAATTCTCTTAAATATTCTAATAATGTGTAGATTTATTCTACATACATGACCTTATTATTTGCAAAGAGAGACACTTTTTGTTTCTTTCCAATCCTTATATGTGTTTTTTCTTGCCTATTGCTTCAGATAGGACTTCCAGTATAATGTTGAATGTAAGTAATAGTGGGTATTGTGGTCTTGTTCTAATTGATGAATAATTTACAACATTTCACAAATAAGTGTGATAATATATTTATATATTATATATATCACAGATATATTTCATCAGATTAAGAAATTTCCCTTTTTTTTTTTTTTTAATGTTTATTATTTGAGAAAGAGACAGAGAACAAGCAGGGGAGGGGCAGAGTGAGAGGGAGACACAGAATTGGAAGCAGGCTCCAGGCTCTGAGAGCCCGACGCGGGGCTCGAACCCACAGATTGCGAGATCATGACCTGAGCTGAAGTCGGCCGCCCAACCGACTGAGCTACCCATGTGCCCCAAGAAAGTTCCTTTTTAATCCTAGTTTAAAAATTTTTCTTAATATTGAATGGATACTGAATTTTGAATGGTTTTCTTGCATCTATTGGGATGTTCATGTGATTTTACTTTTTTACTATGTTGATGTGGTGAATTATATGAATTGATTTTTTCAATTAAACTTAAAAAAGTAATATATTCACATGTCTCAAAAGTCTCTTGTTCACCCTTGTACTTTTCACGTGGTGCCCCCCCCATGACTATTGGTCACCACTTCTATTAGTTTCTTGCTAAGTTTTCAAATGTTCTTGTATTTGTACACAAAAACACAGGGGTGTGCATATATATGGTCTTATTTCCATCCCTTCATGTCATTATTATTATATTTTACAATTAAAGCAACGTTGCATTTGTGGGAGAAACACAACTTGGTCATGATGAAATATCTTTATGTTTTTAAATTTGGTTCATTAATAATTTATCTGGATTTTTTCACATATTTATGGGAGAAATTAGCTTATAAATTTTTTTTTGTACTGTCCTTACGAGATTTTGCTATCAAAGTTATGTTGGCTTCACGAGTTGTCAGCACAGAGCCTGACACAGGGCTCAAATCCATGAACTGTCAGATCATGACCTGAGCTGAAGTCAGACACCTAACCAACTGAGCCACCCAAGGTGCCCCGTTTCTATGGTATTTTTGATTATGGATTCAATTTCTTTAATGATAATAGGTCTGTACAAGTTGTCTGTTTTTCCTCAGGTCAGTTTTGAAAAGTTACGTTTTACCATAAGTTTGTCCATTTTGTCTCACTTTTTAAATGTATTAATATAAATTTGTGAATCATATGCTCTTATTGTCTTTCTTCATATTGTAACTATTCTCTTTATTCCTTTGAGAACAGTGAATATGTTGGTCATAATCTGTTTTTGATTATTCTAGTTTGTGAAGACTTTGTGGATCCAGTATGTGAACACTTTGATGGTGTTTTTCATGTTTATTTCCTTTTGTGCTTTTTTATGTCTGCATAGCTTCTCAATGCCTTTGAAAAATTATTTGTGGCGATTTCCCAAGCCTTGGCACGAAGCTGTATTCTTCGGCATGAAGCTATACTCTTCGAAAGAGGATTTGAATTTGCTTGTACAAAGGCCTGAGGGTACAATTTGTTTAGAACCCCCTTAAACTAAATTAATTGCTTGAGATTTCCTGGACCAAATTTTTAGGAGGTACCTGCCCACGTTTACAACTTCTTAAAGATTCTACTTTCATCCATTCCCACAGCTCCTCACCCCCTTTTGTTCAGCTCCAAGGCAACACTCCCACAGTCCCCTTTGGAGGGTGAGACAGTGAAAGGTTTACTTTAGTTTGTCTTTACTCTAGGATTTTACTCTTTGGCAGTTGTGAAAGCATCCCAGGTCTATGTGGATAGGGTCTCTTAAATGTCTCACTCTGGGGGAAACCTGGCTGGCTCAGCTGGTAGAGCATCTGACTCTTAATCTCAAGGTCATGAGTTTGAGCCCTACGTTGGTATAGAGATTACTTTAAAAAATAAAAATAAAAAAAATGTCACTCTGAGCATGTCATCAACTTTGCTTTCTCTTACCTTCTCCTCACTTTGCACCCCCAGTCAAATGTACAACGCATTTTATTTCGGATCAGTGAATGTGCTCAGATCAAGAGCTGCTTCCCAGGGACACCTGGGTAGCTCAGTCACTTAAGCATCGGACTCCTGGATTTGGCTCAGGTCATGA